AATAGACATTAGGAATCTCTCTGCAGTAAGGGAATGTTGTATAACTGGATATGGGCAGTGTTTGTCTATATTCACTAAATGTCACTGAAGAGTACACTGAATATGGGTAATTTTGTCATATAAATTTGATCTCATTGAAGATGATATTTTAACAATGCTTTCAGCATCTCTCTGAAAAGATTATATCTTTAACAAATTCATTAATAATCAGCCATAATTATAAATAAGGATTAATTTCTCAGTACTCTAACGTCAATGTCAGTACAACTGAGTTTTTACAGAGGAACAGAATTAGAAATTCCAGGTCTTTTCCCATCCATCTATATTAATTTTAACAGCACTTTTTCTGTTTCACAGATCGTTCTTTAGAACTACGCCTTCTCCCACACAGCTACACCTTACTTGTCTGTCCAGACTTCTACAACAAAATACCATACACTTAGTGGCTCTGAAACTGTATCTTAGTTAGGGTTTTCCTGCTGTGAACAGATTCTATGACCAAGGCAAGTCTTATAAAGGACAACATTTCATTGGGGCTGGCTTACAGGTTTAGAGGTTCAGTCCATTATCATCAAGGTGTAAGTATAGCAGCACCTAGGCAGGCATGGTGCAGACAGAGCCAAGAGTTCTACATCTTTGTCTGAAGGCTGCTAGTGGAAGACTGACTTCCAGGTAGCTAGGATGAGGGTATTAAGCCCATGTCCACAGTGACAGACCTACTCTAACAAGGTCACACCTCCTCATAGTGTCACTCCCTGGGCCAAGCATATTCAAACCATCACAAACAGCATCCATTTGTTTCTCAATTGTAGGGCTTGTTTCTCTTCTATACAGCAATTCTAGTGTGATTTTAGTGTGCACAGCCCTGATGTACATAGTAATTTAACACATTTTAACTACTATAAAATAAGCTTTAGGCAAGCTCAAGGCCAGCTCATCTGAGAAGTGCCCCAGTGTCCACAGTCACCTTAGATTTGTGTGTTTGCATTAAACTTTAACTTGGAAACTCAGATAACAGTTTTTCCTAGTTACTCACACTTAGTGGGTAGCTTCACCCAACTGGCAACATCACATTCTGCACAGTAGCTTCATTACCAGCTGAATCACTTACTTTGATTGGTTCAAGGCAATGTGTGGTAAAGTACATTAGTATGTGCTTTTACTTTGTCATTTAAAAATAAAATAAGATGTCTTATCATTTCCTATACAAACAACCAGGCCTGATACCTTATGTCCTTTATTTCTAGACATTTCTATTGGTCTCTCACTGTACACTGTCATATTAATGGCTTCTTTTTCATTTTCTCTTTATAGACTCTTTTCTCATAAGTATATCCTGAGTATAGTTCCCCTGCCTCTACTCTTCTCCCTCGCCTCTAGATCTGCTTATTTCTGTCTCTTATTAGAAAAGAACAGGCTTTTAAGAGATAACAACAACATCTGAGCATTGCAAAATAAAATATAACAAGAGGAAGTAAAAACTAACATATATTTTATGAGTCAAAGCAACCCAGTGGACAGAATTGAGTACCAAGAGTAGGCATAAGAATCAGAGACCCCCTTGTTCACACACTGAAGAGTCCCATAAAAACACTAAGTGGAAAGCTATGCTATACTACTGCAGTTTCCAACCTTCCTAATGCTGTGACTCTATATGGTTCTTCATGTAGTGGTGACCCACAATCATAAAATTACTTTTGTTGCTACTCTAAAACTGTAATTTTGCTACTGTTAAGATTCATAATGCAAGTATCTGTGTTTTCTCATTGTCTTAGGAAATCTTTCGAAAGGGTCATTCAACTTCCAAATGGGTCAAAATCAATAGGTTGAAAACTACTGTTATTATATGTATGTATATATGTATGTATGTATGCATGCATGCACATAGGACCTGGTGTAGGCCCTTTCAGGACCCATGCTTCAGTCTCTGTGAGCTCATACTCACATTGTTCAACTGACTCCGTGGGCCATGCTTTCCTGGTGTCCTCCATCCCCTCTTACACCAAACTTTTCTATGCTTCTTGGTTCTCCTCCCAATTCCTTCTGATCTATCCTAGAATATGTGTCAGAATATCTTAAGTCTTTGTAAAGTACCTGTTTAAGGTACACTGGTTTTTTTGTAAGTCTTTCTTTACACACTTGCTGTCTAATTTATTAGCAGAGAGAGCTCTTGAACTTTTCAACCTGTCTTCATTGACTATGTTATTTAATCCTGGTGATAGAGCTAGGACAGGATTACACAGGAAGTAGAGAAACTATCATAGCTTGAAGCAATATGATCCTTTAAACACATCATTGCTAGTTGCTGAAACCCCTGTTTTTCAAGAGGGGCATTCATTTTCAATTTAGTGGCAAGAAGTATGCAGTTACTCTTTGCTGTCTACTCATATTTTAACCATAAGTTATTCAAAAAGGAACCTATAGGATTTGCCATGAATAATTTGGGGGGCAAGAAAGATTGTTTAATGGTTAAGAGCACTGTTTTTAATTCCAGAGAACCTGAGTTCAATTCACAGCAGTCATATGGGGCTCACAGTCATCTCTAATTCCAGTTGCAAGAGATCTGATGCTCCTTTCTCGTACAGAGATATGCATGTAGACAAAATACCCATACACATAAAGTAAGTAAGTAAGTAAGTAAGTAAGTAAGTAAAGAGATACATATTTCAGTATATATTTCAGTATATATTTTACTTATATAGAACTTTTTAAAAACCTAAGAAATATAGGTACCACCGAGTTGCAAAAAAAGTGTAACATAAACAGAAGGAATTTTAGTTTTTCTATTATTCTCTATAGTATGTGAAATCTCTTTAAATAGTGTGAAGCTTTATATATGCTTGGACCAGGTAGTGGTACTATTAGAAGGTGTGGCCCTGTTGGAGTAGGTATAGCCTTGTTGGAGTAGGCATGGCATTGTGGGTGTGGGCTCTAAGACACTCATCCTAGCTGACTGGAAGTGAATCTTCTGCTAGCAGCCTTCAGATGAATATGTAGAACTCTTACTCCTTCTGCACCATGCCTACTTGGAAGTTGCCTTGATGATAATAGACTGAACCTCTGAACCTGTAAGCTAACCCCAATTAAATGTTGTCCTTGTAAGCGTTGCCTTGGTCATGGTGTCTGCTCACAGCAGTAAAACTCTAAGACAGATAGTATGACATTATTTCCAATATTTTCCTTTTGAAGCCACTTTTCTCAAGTGGTACTCTGGTCCAGGTTCTACAACATTGAGGGGGCACGTGATGTTTCATAGGAACAAACTTATTAGATAATTATTTGGATCTATCTGTTGGTATGAAATTCATCAGCTAAAATGCAATATGAGCCTTAAAAGTAAAGTACTGGTTTTTTTTTTAATTCTTTCCAACCCAAAGTCACTATTGTGTTGACCTGGGTTATTCCAGCACAGTACCAATACATTTAGCATTTTCCATTGGCAAGTAGCAATATCATAGGGAATTAGGTCTATTAATGTAGCCCATACTTTGAATGTCTTTCCCAGTAATCTCTGTCTCCTCCTCCACAACCAATTCCCTTTCCATAATATGAAGTACCTAAAATAAAGCCTCACCTCATTTGCTTCCCATACAAAGAGCACCCTTCTAACCAAATGAATTACATACACTCAATGAATAGATGACCTATGTTTATTCACCCAAACAACTTTTATTAAAGCCTCAACACATGATGATGGTGACATTGTCTGCACTGATCATTACCTATTGTATGAAAGATAGAAAGTGTTCAGGAAGAACTATACCTTGATTTACTACGATAATACTTCTCCAAAAACATGGCCTTGAGCAGAAACTGCAGGCAAGAAAGGCAAAGGATATAGCAAAGAGTATCCCAGGACAAAAAGCAACAAGACAAATGTCAGAGTTAGAAAGTAAATTCAAGGGATGAGACAAAGTCCAGGACTCAGGAATAAAGTTAGGGCAAAAGTCAGTGAGCAAAAATATTTAAATAGAAATTCAGACTGGAAAGGGGAAGAAAACATTTCCCACATACTTCAGATGCACACACAAGCATGTGTACACATACATACACCCAGAGAGACTCTACACACTGGGCTGATGGACATATGCAGATGAAAGAGCTTAGAGGTCTCTTCTGTTTAACATGACTTAAGGGATTGATGGAGTACGACTCAAAAATGGTACTGAAAACTAGTGTCAGCATTCACTACCTACCCTTTGGGTAGAGCTATTAATAATATACTAAACTGTGCCCATGCTTATTTCAGAATGTAGATATATTAATTTTAAAATATTAGTCATAAATACTCAATTAAAGAAGTAGTCTGTGTACTGATAATTATAGAAATAAGCAATATCTACTTATTTAATAAAATTAAAAATTTGGAGTGAAAGGCTAAATAAATCAGGATCAGAAATACATTTTACATTAGTTGACTTAGATACTGATCTTAAATAACGATGACCCTGATAAAAGTCAACAGAACAGGTCCAGTAAAAAGTGACTATGTCTGATATGTGTGCATGTGCGTGCACACACACACACACACATACACTTAAAGAACTAGAGATAATGGAGAAGAAGCTGCTAGCCTAAAGCAAGAGCTGCATCTCTTCAAAGTACTCTCATGAGAAACATCAAGCTTATTGTATTTATTGTAATTGGTGGTTTGAAATACATTTTTATACTTGTATAATTTGCCCCCAGTTAAATCAAAATGCATCTAAATTGACTTGACAGGCAAACATTAACAATGTTTGCTTCTTTTAAATTAGGAAACTGAGTATACGCTGTTACAGTTTCTCTTATGGATACTGAAATTTTAAGTGTTTTCTATAACTCATATATTTTTTTTTCAGTATTACAGAGCTAATGTGGTATAGCAAATGATACTGTCTTTTTTTATCTTTTTCAAAATATTGCAAAATAGAAGTTGTACTTGACACTGGAGATCTGCTGCGACCTTACTTATGAAATAGCTTTGTGCTCATCAGCATCTTCTGTGCTGATGGGATTACCTGTCTGCATCCACTGTCACATCGTGAACTCCTCTCTGTATGACATCCCTGGAAGATGCTGTGTCTGGTACTCGGTTAAGACTTCTAGTATACAGGTTGAGCCCACCATCTGTCATGTACCTGAAAAGAATTGCCAACACAACATTAATCAACAGAAAGTCAAATGACCTTATCCACATGACAGAAGAAAATTACTGTCCTGGGAATTCTCAATAACTACTCAAAAACCAACTCTATTAAACCATTTTATATACAGATACTCTCACCAGAATGAAATAAACTTCATTCTCAATTTTATTAAAAAATCAATAGTCTTTACTATAATAGGTCAGTAGCTTTTTATAGAAGTTGTTAAGACATACACAGTCATACACAAACACACACACACAGATACACAGACACCACAGACACACTCATGCCTACCATGGTAGACATGCACCACTACCCACATGTGCTCATGCATGTGTGTGTGTGCATGTACACATGTACACACACACACACACACACACATACATACACTCATGCACACACACATGAACAGATTCACATATGCAGATATACAAACACCACAAACACATACTAGAAACATAAATATAAAACCTTTGCTGAAACTGCTAGAGTAAAAAGCTGAGAAAGTTTTCAAATTACAGGAATAAGTAAGAGCTTCCTTAATAGGATTTCAGTAGCACAGGAAATAACCACCAGAAGTGACGAAGAAAGGGTGTGTGGAGAGTAACAGAATTCATGAGACTTGAAAGTGAAACACAATGACTGCACTGAAGGGTTACAACTGCAATGGCCTAGGCAAAGAGTCAGAGAACTCTATATCAGTGAATACTCTATAGAGCTGTGATGGGCTAGCTGGGTGGACTCTGAAAGCATTTCAATTATCTACGATTCAATTGTGTCAGTTGTAAAACTGAAATGATAACAATGATAAGCTTACCTCTTGTTAGGCTGAGCTAGCAATGGCAATAATAACATGTTTGGGATATATATATGTATATGTATATGTATATGTATATATGTGTGTGTGTGTGCATATGTCAATGTATATAATGTCTACATATATGTTTGTATAAGTATATGATGTATGTGATGTGTATGATGTATACGAGGTATATGAGGTATGTGATGTATATGATATGTTGATATGTACAACATATATGATGCATATGATGTATACATGTATGATGTATGTGATGTGTAAGATATATATGATGTGTCTGATGTGTATGATGTAGATGATGTAAATGCACAAGTATATTCACATTTGTATGTGGTGTGTGTGTGTGTGTGTGTGTGAGTGGTGTGAAGAGCACGGCCTATCATGGCATAGCACTGTGTGACTAATGCCTAGCTGGCGGCTATTTGTTCTATGCATGTTTCTATAATAACACAAAATGGCTAGGATTATAAAGGTGAAATTGGTGAGTCAGTGATGGGGACATATGGGTTCACAAGACGACACACTCAGGTTCTAGCACCTTTCAGTTGCTGTACCTCTGTCAATTATCCTAAGTTTTTAGGAGATCTGAAGGAGAAATGTAGCAGGACCAGTTCATCTCATTCCAGATTTTCAATTTTTGTCCCTCAGAAGTCAGACTTTTTTTTTTTTTCATTTTTGGTCAAATGACTCAATTACAATTTTAACTTTTGGTCACATGCACATAACTATTTATGACTATGTATCCAAAGATAACTTCAATTTCCACTCAATTGAAATATGTAACTTTTCTCTCAATATTTCCTTTTCGGCTTCATAGATGTACCCTTTCAAGTCATTGAGTCCCTTCCTCTGACTAATTCCTAATTACTGAGAGCTTCAGATTCTCGAGGGTGTGAAGTAATTTCAAAAGGGGAAGTCTGAGATAAGCCTCTGCATGCTTCAAGAAATTTTGAATTCTCAGACTGCCAACTAAGTAACTTTATCATTTCTATCCAGAGTACATGAAAACCACAACGTCATTCTCATTTGCATGACCTTGCGACAGTCCTTGTGGTATTAACAAAAAATGCTAAATTAAACATCTTCTTTTCATTGTCCCTATTAAGCTTTTTGTTCCTTTAATCAGCAAAATATCCTTGAAACATTGCGAAGAGCAAGTGAATTTGTGATTCATTTTTTTTTATGAAATGTTAGCAATAGGTTTCATATCACTTAAAGGAAGTACAATCAGATTCATACATTCTTGGGATATCTCTGACCTTCTCATCGGTCCCACATTTCAATTCTAGATTGAGATATCAATAGTGGCCTACTACAGACTCTGCCAACTGGCCCTCCAGAAAATGTCCTCCAGTCGATCTCTAGTTCAGACCAGCCACATCCCATGTAGGGCCTAGAGAACAAAACTGGGCCACGTTTTAAAAGTCAGTCACCTCTACACCACTAACCACTAAGGGAAAAAGGTTTCAAGCTCATCTCAGCTATCATAGGGAAGAACAAAATGCTGACTGTCTCCCAGTGAACTTTTGATACAATTTTCATGCATGAAACATGGAGTTCACAGATCTACAGGTTCACAGACTTCCTAAGAAAGACTTATAGAGGTGAAATGAGAGAGATCAGAATTCTGAATTGGGCTCCAAATGAAAAATCAAACAAGTAAGACACAGGATCTCAAAAACATTGCTTTCCCCTCTGTAGATGATTCAGTGAAGAGACAGCTAGCTGTCATCAAATTAGTTTCCTTTTCCTCAGAGGCACACAGCTGAGCCCTGCTTTCTTGCCTTGTGCAGGTAACTGGAGCCACGAAGGCACTCTGGACACGAGTGCAAGCGGAAGTCAACTGCAAACCTTTCAGGCCTGGCCAAATATTCTCCCACTGTTTTTTTTTTTTCTTCCGTATCTTTTGCTATTTTCCTGATGAATGGTAATGGTCAGGGTGATACTGAAAACCTAATTAGGCAAAAGCAGAATTATCAAACTTCTAATTCTCTAAATGACTTTGGTTTACATTGCCCATGTGAAGATCAAAGTCATGAGGGAAAGACGCATTAAGAGAAAGAGGTGGATAAAGGCGTCTGCTGCTGAGCCTGAGTTAGATTCCCAGGACTCACTTTGGTGGTAGGACAGAAGCTGACCCCTGTAAGTTGTCTTCTGACCTCTACATGTGTACTGTGGTAGGAGTTTTACCCAGAAATACACCCACATGCTCACACCCAAAATTAATAGGTAAAATATAATGAAAGAAAATAGGACAGTTTTTCATGTAGATTTTAGATTACTCTGAGCACAAATAAGTGGTAAATAATATAATGAGAAGTCTGGTCTTGTGGGTTGGGTGCTTATAATATCTATCATATGCATATGCAGAACTCAGTTGTGTGTGTGTGTCCATAAGTCCATATGTATGTATAAATATTTATGTGTGCTATTAACTCATTGAAAGAATGAGTACTTATGTAGATGCAAAAATATTAGCACATGAGCTCCATTGTGGTCAAGCATTCTGACTCTGTTGTTCATGACTGTATGTTCTTAGTGCTCAGAATGCTCTTTACCACATAAGAGAAACTCAACAGAAGCTCTGTAATACACACACACACACACACACACACACGTATGTTCATATGCACTCATATAAATATAGATATGTTAACACACTCACGATGTAGCTTATACTACACTAAATATACTATACTTATACTATACTAAATATAGTATATTTCTACTATATTTCTTCCCTCTGAATTTTATAACCTCTAGTGTTCAAGAATTTTCTATTGAGATGAGATACATGTATGCCACTTTTACCCCAAGACTCTTTTGCATTTTCTACCATCTTTGTATTCTGGTGTGTGTCTAACCCATGTTTCAAACTCTACACTCTCTCTTCACACAATTTTCTCTCATGGTACACTCTTCTGTTTCCTGTGATGATAACCTAGTAAGTAGGTTCTCTTTGGTTCAGGACCTTTTATGTACCCTTAAGGAAAGTTCATCATTATGTTCTATTTTCATCAGTGCTGTTTAAACACTTTCTAGTCCTTACCACTACCAATGACATACTTATGGATGTATGACCATTGGCCTGGGCTCTTACAATAGTTTGTGAAATCTAACTTTGTGGTTCTTGCTTCATTTGCCTGTTTTCCCTAAAGTAGTCTTTGCAAAATCGTCAACATTTCCATATCATATTAATATTCATAACCTCTGTGTAGTGGTTTCCCCTGAGTATAGTATGCAGCTCAATTTTTTTGCATCATGACTTCAAGACAGGCCTCAATAGTTATATTTCTTACATCTTACCTTTAAATGTTCCCCTTCCATGCTTATCAGTCAATGGAAATGCTATCAAGTGCCACATTATCCAATGACCCTCTGGTTATGAAAATAATACTGAAGCTTACTGAATTGGTCATACCTATAAAGTATTTCCCTCATCTTTGGCTATTTAGTTCAGGAACCATAACTAATATGCTTCCTTATTCAGCTTTCTCTGTATCATATCTGACTTTAACACTTTCTCCTTACTCTGAACTCTAATGCTGTATAGACCATTTGAAATTATCCATGCATTGAACCATGGATGTTCTCTGGTTTTGGATATAAACTCCTCTTCAATTATTCTGGCAATACCAGAGTAAGCGTTTTACATTAATGGTGTATGCTTAGAATATGCTGTCTACCAAGGCTCAGGTTTTAAATGCGTCTTCTCTGTGGTTGGTACTATTTTAGGGAACTGTGGAACCAGGTGTGGTCTACCTCATGGAAGTGAGTAGACAGAGGCAAGCATTTGAGGGTTAAAATCTGTACTCTGGGTTAGGGAACTCTCTGCTTCCTCTTCAAAAGTGATGTGAGGGGGATCTTAAGTTTGTGCTTTGGTGCATACCTTTAATCTTAGAACACAGGAAGCAAAGGTAAGGACATTGTCATGAGGTCAACTTTAGTGTTGGGTAATCTGGGACTATATCAAAAAAACTAAAAGAGGGACAGAGGGAGACAGGAACATGGACTCGAGAAAGAGACCACCTTAATGGAAGGTTGGTAGATAATAGGAAGTAGTGAAAGTTACAATGGTAATTACAAGAATCCTTTTTCTTTTATTGTATTTATTCATTCTCTTTGGCTCTGTGCGTGCATGTGTGTGCCTACATGTGTGCACATTTCATAGCCAATGTGTGGTGATCAGATGATAACTTATAGGAGTTGATTCTCTCCTCCAACAAGACACCAGGCATTGAACTCAGATCATCAAGGCATGGTGAAAAGTGTTTTTACCTGCTGAGCCATTTCACCAACCCAGGATTAGTTTTAATAGAATGTCCTGTTGCTTCCAAAGATTCTGTGATGAAACCAAGTAGTTTATTTTGCCAAAACACCATAAGAATTTTAGAATATATATATAATTATATATATATATTTAAAGAATAGTAGAATATATATTTAAAATATAAAAAGAAAAATGATTATAATATTTTAAAATCTGAAATCACCAACAGAGAATCAATCAATCTAAACTTTCAAGTCTGAGGCTGAAGAGGTAGCTTAAGATACATAAATCCATTGCCAAAGCTGGTGATTTAAGTTAGATTCCTGGTACCCTATAGTAGAAGGATTTCTGAACTCCATATGATCACCATTGTATACACATGCCCACACACAGAGACATACAACATAAATGAATAAAATGTATTAACAACTTTAAAAATCCTTCAACTCTGATTTTCTTTACTATTTAGATTGCATGTTCATGATTAAACCATGCCACAAATGACTTGTTCTTTAAAGCTGATAGACGTAGCCAGACCAGAAACAGAAACTCAAAAACAACTCCTCCTGTCTCCTTCCCACACCCTTAGTAACTATAAAATCTGTTACTTAGGAACATGTAAGACTAGTATGAAAAATACAGGACACATGCACTTCTTTAGACCAACGATTTTCAAGCTTCCTAATGTTGTAACCCTTTAATATAGTTCCCTATGTTATGGTGACCCCTCCCCATTCGTAAAACTATTCTCATTGCTACTTCATAACTGTAATTTTCCTACTGTTATAAATCATAAACACCTGTATTTTATGATGGTCTTAAGTGACCCTGGAATACCTTGGAATATACATCAGACTCACAAGCCCCTCCTGCCCCAACAATGCAGCTCTGCTCAGGGCTACTTACCCACTGTTGATATCATCTGCTCTTAGACTCTTCCCAAGGATATCACCATCACTCATGTATCCACCAACATCTACTTCAGAAGACACATCCAGGTCACTGCTTGCTTTCTCGCTCATATCTATTTGTGACATATTTCCCAGACGCGAGACAGCAGCTCTGCGGAGGGGCGTTGTATACATAAACCTGGAGGGATCTGTGTGGATGAATCGGCTGGCACTGCTTCGAGAATATCCAGCACCCATGGAGGGAGCATCTCCGGCCTGTAGACGAGGACATGCCTGACCCAATCTCCAGGTCATGGGGGTAGGTCGGCTTGTCAGGTTAGGGATGGCTCTTCCATTCACTTCGGTTGTCACAGTCGTATCAAAGGTTGTCTCCAGGGTGCTATCAAACAAAATGGAGACATGAATATACTCTGGTTCCCTAAGGTCACAGACCAAGACATGATACCACAGGAAAGGTTAGAGTTATATGTGTGATTAGAGGCTCATCAGTTTCATGAATGCAAATAGTGCACAGAATCATTTTATGATCCCAAATATCACTGCTGCTGTCAAAATGTGGGAAGTCACAGTTTCTGCAAGTGGTTGCTTTCAAAAGAAAGGCACCAGTACCTTATAGATTACCTGAATATTGTTTGACTCTTGAAAAAGTAAAACACTGAATTTCACCCATATTGAATTCTTCAGACCATTACAGGAAGTTAGCAGTGGGCATGCTTACATGAATCTCTGACACCTTCTTCCAATGGCCTGGAAGACATCAAACTATTTCACTAGAATCGGTCATAGTTGACCAGTTGACTCTGTCTAACAAGAAAGTTCTATAGAAGACAAGATGAAAACAAAATATCAAACAGTTCTCAGCTTAAAGGGTATTGATAACTGATAGTCATGTACACATGAAAGAAAATAGGAAGCAGTGCTAAATTCAATCTCAATCATTATAAGAGGATGGTCACATTGTCGGTTTTCTTTATCTCTCCAATGATAGGCAGAACTGTGAGTACCTGTGGCTTATCTGGGTCCCTCGGAGACTGGACATTGTCTCTTCCAAGTTCTGCCTCAGATCTGCTATGTTCTTGACTGTGCGCATTCTCCGGGCTTCAGGGTCTTCACCTGGAAATGGAGATATGAAATTGTTCAGCACAGTACACAGATGAACAATATGAACCCCTGTGTTTCAAAGCAAAATGACCGGTAGGAAATTCCAGATGTCTCCTGAAATCTGAAAATTGTAGTTCTGTTTACAATAGAAAGACATTTAATATCACAAATACAAATTCTGAAGCAGCACAAATACAGTATATTTGTAAGTCTATTTATCTTCAGAGTCACTACAATATTTGAGACATTTAAAAATACACTGTACAGTACCGCAGCCACAGGGCTGGCTTGATTTTAAAATTGAAAATTATTTGGATCTGCTTACTTCAACAATTATCCATTTTCAAGGACGTTCAAAGTAGCTGAGATGACCATCCTTACTTAGCGATAAACGTTAGACAGTGAAAAATGCTCAGAGGTCCTTTCTCAAAGATTCTTTTCTGAATTTCCTATTAGACTCATGAAATGAAAATTCCCCAAACTGGATAGCTTTACTTTTAATCACCTCTATATTTTGCATAGGAAATGAAAATATCCACATGGTGACATCACAGTTTAACCAGAGACCTAGGTACCTGAACCCAAACACCTTTCTAATAGTCATAAAACAAGTAGTTCTGAAAGTGTGATGAAGGCAGGCATTCCACGTGAACGCCCATCTTTTGTGTTAAGAAGTGCCATCAAAGAATGTTTACAGTTATGCAGTATTTCCCAACCCAGCCCATTTGAAGCTGATGAGTCCTGACAGGAATAACATAGGGTTAGCAGAGGAAGGAGGGTAGGCTGAGGTGAATAGAGACCTTAAGAAAAATATAAAAAGGAAGCAAAAAAAAAAGAAGGGAAAGTGAAGAAGAGAGATAAAAGAAAAGGATGTAGACTCCATTGCATATATGTCCAACAGTGGTAGAGGAAGATCCATTCCCAGCTTCCCAAGGAAATATCACACAGCTTTCCTTAATGGCTACACAAGTTTTGTTTTCCTACCAGCAATGGAAGAGTTTCCCCCTTTCCCTACATTCTTGTCAGCATGAGCTGTCATTAGTTTTATTGTGGATCTTGACCATTCTGACTTGGGATAGGATAGAATTTCAAAGTGGTTTTGATTTGCATCTCTGTGATGACTAAGGGACTGAGTTGGATGGGTGGGGAGATTTGGGGATTATCTGGGAGGAGGTAGGTGAATAAAAATCATGATCATAATATATTGTATGAGCTTTTACAAAGGGGAGAAGGAAAGGAGAGAGAAAAGAAGGGATAGATGGATTAAGAGGAACAAGCAAAGGAGGGAAGAGGGAGGAAGCAAAAGACAGGAGGGATTAGAAGAAAAATCAAAATAAAGTGGAAAGAGAGGTAGAAGACTCATATTAATATATTATATTACATTATAAAATATCATCACACAGATGAGTCAAAATGCATATACATACATTTCACTTTAATCCTATATATACAAATACATTTTCCTAATATACTTAGTATTCTTCCTTAGAATACTTCCTTAGTATTCAGACCAGAATTCAAGGATAAAGTTCACATGTCAACTCAGACTCTATAATTATAGATCAGAGTTGGGGGAGGGGCTGCATGCATCTCAAAACCCTGTATAGAACTGATCTACGTCTCACACGGGGCATATACATCAACTTCATCTCCATCTTCAACCCTGGAAACTCTACACCTCTCTCCTACCGTCATTCAGCAGGGGTAATGATAAAATAGTGTTAGGAAGCGAACCACAACAGGTCCTGTTACGTTCCCCTCAGTGGATCCAGCAGCTCTGAAAGCAATTGAAAAAACTTATACTATTCCACAGCAGCACTCAAATACCAAGACTCCTGTCAGGACTCCTGGCAGTTCCTTCACTGTCTGTCTTAGCCAAACATTACTGCCTTGTTCACTGTCACTCAGTATGGATGTCCATCCACACAGCCACGAGTCTGGTCCAGCCTGTAAACTTGTTCCTACTTGTTTATAAATGTTTTCTACAGATGATAGCGTTATTATTCCAAACTGAGGCTGCATGGGATTGCTTCATTAAAAGAAACATAGTTTAACAAATAGAAAAAAATATAAGATGGGATGGCAGGCATGTGGCATCAACTTCTCCACATGAATCCAAACCAAGTCATCTCTAATCCCGTTGATTGACTTTCTTAGAAGCTAGGACTGTTTCTAAGCTCCAAGATACCAACCACATCCTCTCTGGAGATTGCAGGCATGATTCCCACGAAGATGACACAGTTCATGGGAAGCAACTACTGAGATGTTCCTTTTCTACTTCCAAGTCATCTGCTACAATGTTGGGGAATAAAAAGAAAGCTGGCAGAGAAAAATTGAAAGAGTGGCAGGAGAATATAGTTATAGCCAAAGGAAAGACAGGAGCAACAGATTGGGATAAAACTGGTGAGGACATTTTTTTTGTTTGTTTTTAATTTATTTATTTTTTGTTATTTGTTATTTGTTTTGTTGAGTTTAGAGGGTTTTTGTTATTATTGTTATTTTATTTTATTTCTTTTTATGATTTCCCAGCCATTGCCCTTCCCCCAGTCCCCCCTTCTATAGTTCCTCATTCCATTCCTCCTTCCCACTGTCTCCAAGAGGATGTACCCCCAACCAGGGACCAGGCCTGCCCTCTTCCTGGGGCCTCAAGTCTCTCTAGGGTTAGGCGGGTGGTCTCACACTGAAGTCAGACCCCCCTCCCCCATGCAGTCCTCTGCTGTATATGTGTTGGTGGCCTCATATCAGCTGGTGTATGCTGCCTAGTTGGTGGCTTAGTGTTTGAGAGATCTCAGGAGTTCAGGTTAGTTGAGACTGCTGTTCTTCCTAGGGGGTCACTGTCTTCCTCAGCTTCTTCTAGCCTTTCCCTAATTCAACCACAAGGGCTCCCTGACTTCAGTCCAATGGTTGGGTGTAAGTATCTGTGTCTGCTCAGTCAGCTGCTTGTTGGGCCTCTCAGAGGACAGCCATGCTAGGCTCCTGTCTGAAAGTACATCATAGCATCAATAATAGTGTCAGGCCTTGGGGCTTCACAAGATTATTGGGCCAATCAACGGACCTCCTTTCCCTCAGTTTCTTCTCCATTTTTGTCCCTGGAGTTCTTTTAGACAGGAACAATTCTGGGTCAGAATTTTTGACTGTGGGATGGCAACACTATTCATCATTATTTGATACCCTGCCTTTCTACTAGAGGTAGACTCTACAAGTTTCCTTCTCCCCACTGTTGGGCACTTCATCTAAGGTCCCTCCCTTTGAGTCCTGTGAATCTCTCACCTCCCAAGTCCCTGGTACTTTCTAGAGGACCCCTCCCACACCTTTCAACCCCCAACCCCCACCCCATTGTATATGTCCATTCATTCTGCTGGCCCTTAGGACTTCTTTCCTGACTTACCCTCTCCCCCCACCCCATAGCTGATCATGTTACCCTTTTCCCTTTCACCTCCCCTCCCCCATCCAGGTCTTTCTCTCTCAAAAAAATAATCACCATGGGAGACAGAGGGAGAGAGGGAGGCAGAGGGAGAATGGTGAGAAAATTTAAAGATGAAGATCCACTAGAGACTTTGAGAGCAGGAAAGTAGAGACCATGGGGGAGGGGTGAGAGGGGGCAGTTGCAAAGCACTGACCCTGGAACACACTCATGTGCTACATCGATACATCTACGCTGCCTGTCCCCAGCCCATCTGCATCCAGCCCATTTGTCAGATCACAATATTGGAATTGATATTTGAACTATTTCTCATGTTTTAAAAGAATACTTTAAAGAATAACCATAAACATTATGTTTCACTGAATAATTTTCCATATCGATTTCCTTTTGGTAGCCCAACAGGAGTGTTTAATCCATGGATCCTTCCAGTTGAAATCTGGCCTTGTTTATGCAATTTCCCTCAAATGCCAGGACTATAATGTTCCCCTCACTCCACCCTTTGATTTTCTCCTAAGGACATTTACAGGTGACACTATGCCACTCATGGCAATCAAACAGACAGATCTCTGCCCTCCAACACTTAAAAGAGCATACCATCTTTGCTGCCTTATTCGTTCCATGAAGGATAATAACCAGAGCTAAATGTATTGTAGCAAATAATTTCAGTGACCCACGAAAGGCAAGATAAAAACTAAGTGCATTTGTAATCCCCTAAGGAATGATTGCACAGTCTGGAATGTCTTTCAAAGTGGTATTCAAATGCTGTAGTAAGACTCTGTGGGGGTTGGGAGGAGGCCATCCAAAGGACATATATATCTAACTGCTTAGCAAATAAAGAAAGGTTATAAGAAGGATGCACATGAGAAAAATGTACTTAAACAACAAAAACAATTCATTTCTTCCCATCTGCACAATCTGAAACTCAACCATTATTCCCAAAAGAGAGTTCTCATTTTTGCCAACCCAATGATAGAGACTTCTACACAGTTTTTCAAATGGTATATTCTCTAACCCACTTGAATTTCAACACTGGTGCAGAGGGTTTTCTAACAGTTTCCAGAATAGTGCCTCTGCTTCACAACTAGTGCATAATAGAGAATTTAATTTGGATGGTCTGCCCTTACTAGATATGCTTTAAATATACATATTATAATTAACATTGTCACACTGCCATCTTTTAATAGAAATCAAATTATATATGTGTGGAACGTGATTTATATAATGAGAGCTGTTACAGAATTCACTCTGCACACTCTGCTATTGAAAACTTTTCTCGGTTTGAATAGTGACTGTCATTTTGTGAATGTCCCCAGCCATGATTTTCAGATAAAACTTTTAAACTCATCCTTATGATCTTAATATTTGGTAGATATACAAAAAGACATGGTCAATGGTAAGATAGTAGCATTGCAATCATTATCCTATATATTTATATCATAGACCCTAGCCTGAATAATTTATTAGGATACTCAATAGTAAAATATTGAACTCATGAAACTTGGGCCAAAGCTAACATAGGCCACGTTGAGTCATAAGCAGAACCTAGTCAATAACACAGCAGAAATTCTACAAAGTTAAAGCATCACAA